CTCTGAAACCTGTCCTGTCCTGAGCCAGTCTCACTGATTCCAACACACCAACCTCACTGCCCCAGTATCAATCCATCTCATCTGGGGTCTTCCTCTCCTGCTTTGTCCCTCTACCCTTCTAAGCATGACGTTCTTCTCCAAGGACCGGTCCTTCCTGGCCATGTGCCCAAAGAATGTGAGACAGAGCTTCAAAATCCTAGCCTCCAGGGAGAAACTTGGTTTCACCCTCTCCAAGTCAGAACAATTTGTTTTCTTGGTGGTCCAAAAAGGTATGTTCAAGACTCCAGCATCAATTTCTCTTCTGTCATCCTCAGTCATTTCCCAATCTCTGATTCATAGCAAGTGATTATGAAGACCATGGCCTGGATCAAGCACAACTTACTCTCTGACATCATTGCTTTTCAGTACTCTGGAGAGATCTCTGACAACAGATTTTCCCAATGCAATTAATCTTTTTATTTCCTGACTACTAGTGCCAAGATTGTTGATTGTGGAGTCAAGCAACCTGTTATAACAACCTCAATCTCTTTTCCATCTGTCATGGTGCTGCCAATTGGTCCAGTGGTGAGAATCTTTGTTTTCTTGACATTGAACCTCGATCCATATTGAAGACTGCAGTCCTTTGACCTTCTTCAGCAAGCTCTTCAGGTTCTTCTCAGTTTCAGCAAGCAAGGTAGTATCATCTATATAATGTAGGTTGTTGAGCTTTCCTTCAATTTTACTGCTGTAATTCTCCTCATACAGTCCAGCTTCCCAAATGATCTGTTCTGCATATAGGTTGAAAAGGTGTGGAGACAGAATGTATCCTCGAGGCACTCCTTTCCTGATTTTGAGCCATGCAGTGCTTCTTTGCTTTGTTCTGAGGACTGCTTCCTGGTCCATGTATAGGTTTTTCATAAGCATGATCAAGTGTTCTGGGATTCTCGTTGTCCTCAAGATTAACCACAGTTTGTTGCGATCTACACAAACGCCTTTGCACAGTTAATTAAACACAGATAGACATTCCTCTGATAGTCTTTGCTTTCTGTCAAGATCCATCTGACATTGGCAATAATTTCTCTAATGCCACGACCTCTTCCAAACCCAGCTTATATTTCTGGTAGTTCTGTCAATGTACTGTTCCAGTTGTTTCTGGATAATGTTCAGCAGGATTATGCTTGCATGTGATATTAATGATATTGTTTGATAATTTCCACATTATGTTGGGTGGGTCACTTTTTTTTAATGGCACTAAATATGCATCTAACATTGGCAATAATGTCTCCAGTGACACGACCTCTTCTAAACCCAGCTTGTATTTCTGGTAGTTCTCTGTCAATGTACTGTTACAGCTGTTTCGGATAATCTTCAGCAGGATTTTGCTTGCGTGTGATATTAGTGATATTGTTTTATAATTTCCACATTCTTTTGGGTCACCTTTTTTTGGAATGGGCTTAAACATGCATCTCTTCAGTCAGTTTGCCAGGTAGTTGTCCAGTCACTACTAATTGAAAATATTTAGGCTTTTATTCTTGGTGGGTTTATAGCTTACATAGGTTCCAGATTTCTGTGCAACCATCTTAGAGGCAAAGACAGTGAAACTTGGTCTCACATACTTTGTTAGGAGGGACCAGTCCTTGGGAAAAGGTATGATGCTATGTTTGGAAAGGCAGAGGGTCAATGAAAAATAGGAAGACCTTCAACAAGATAGAGTGACACGTACAGTAACTAAATGAACGAGATCAAGTAGATAAGAGATAATGAGGATGGCACAGGACGTTGTTGTTGTTGTGCACTGTCAAGTCAGAACCAACCCGTAGCTGAGCGTCTGGCAGGTATTTCGAGGCAGTTAACCTCACAGGAGGAGACTGCCCATCCTTCTCCCGCAGGATAGGGTAAGGTTCTTCATAGGATCGCTATGAGTCATAGTGAACTCAGCAGGAACTAATAATAACAGCTGAAAAAAGTATGAGACTGTCCATAAAAAGCCACCTTTCTCATGCTTCCCTTACACAGAGAACTGGTAAGTACGGAGAGAGAAAGAATCATTTGAGTAGGAGATTCCTGCACAAACTTTACAAAAGTCTGTGATCTTCTTGTAAATGTGATAAACCATGCAAAGATAGAAAAATGCTCATAAAAGTGTAAGAATTAAATAAATAGCATGCATTAAGATTATTGTTGTGTAAGGAGCTGCCCCAGCCAAAAGAGACATGATTCAAATAAATCTGCCAGCGGCTCTATAAGAGAAAGATGGACAGTCTATTCCTGTGGGATTCACCACCTCTGAAAACCCACTGGAAGGTAGATGGTGAGTCAGTTTTCACTCAGCTGTAAATTTTAATATTCACCTGTCACTTTGTCATATATCATGTGGTTTATGTGTTGCCAAGAAGCTGTAGTTGTTGTAGTGGTTAAACATCATTGAGTCAGTAGTGCCTCATAGTGACCAGAACAATGGATCTGAACTCTGCCCTCTCTTATTCTATCTTGATCAATCTCTAACATTCCCAAGCTCACTGTTACAGTCACTGTGTCAGTACACCTCATTGAAAGTCTTCTCTTCCTTCACTGGCTCTCCACCTTTCCAAGCATGCTGTCTTTTCCCAAGGATTGGCCCCTTCTAACTATATTCCCAGAGGATGTGAGACAAAGGGTCACTAGCCTTGCATTCAAGGAGCACCCTGACTACATTTTTTTTCCAAGATATAGACTACATTTTTTTTCCAAGATATAGTTGTTTGTCCTTTTGGCAGTCCATGGGATGGTCAGCACTCTTCTCCAATGTCACAACTCAAAGACATCAATTTTTCTGTCATCTTATTCATTGTCCAGTTGTCAGCTACATAGAAAGTAATTGAAAAGATCATGGGTTGTATCAGGCGCATCTCAGTCTTCACACTGACATCATTGTTTGTCAACACTTTAGAGAGATCCCTGAGAGCTGATCTTCTCAGTGTAATATGTTTTTTGATTTCTTGCCTGGCTGCTGGTGTTGGATGCCAACAGTGCTGATTGTGGATCCAAGCAAGTTGAAATCATCGACAATTTCTATCTCTTCTTCATCTGTCATTGTGCTACATGTTGTTAATAATGCAGGTTGTTGATTAGAAGAGATTCATATTTGTTCCTATTCCTTAAAAAAGGTGATCCAACAGAATGTGGATATTACTGAACAATATAATTAAATGTTCCATGAAGTAAAATACAGCTGAAGCTTATTTAAAAACAGCTGAATGGAGAACTTCTAGGAATTAAATCTGGATTTAGACGAAATCATAGCATGAATTATCATTGCTGATGCCAGGTGGATTTTTTCTGAAAACAGAACATACCAGAATAATTTCTATATGTGTTTTGTTGCTAATTAGAAGCCATATGAATGTGTGGATTATAAAAATTATAGCTTACATTGAGAAGAATGGGAATCCCAGAGCACTTAATCTTGCTCATGAGAACCCTATGCCTAGACCAGAAAGCTATTATATTAACACAGCAAGGGAACATTGCATGGTTAAAAATCAGGAAAGATGTTTAGCAAGGTATATTCTTTTTCAGTATTTATTGAATAAATGATTTGTTCAACAGAACAAATCGTTCAGGAAGCTTGACAATATAAAGAATAATGTGGCATCAGGGTCAGAAGAAGAACAGCTAAGTGGTAAATTTTAAAAATACCAGCAGGATCATCCGTAGTAGATGTATTTCAGTGGAAATCTCAAACTAAGGCAGATAGAAAAGCAAAATGAGTCACACACTTTTGGAGAAATTGGTGAGTTAATGTTGTTGTTATGTGCCGTTGAGTCGCTTGCGACTCATAGCGACACTATGTACAACAGTCCTAAACTCTGCTCTGTCCTGTGCCAATCTCACTGTCTCTGATACACCCATCCCAATTACCACAGTCACTGAATCAATCCACCTCATAGAGGACCTTTCCCTCCTGCACTGTCCCTCCACCCTACCAAGCATGATGTCCCTCTCCAAGGACCGGTCCCTCCTTACAACATGTCCAAAGTAAGTTATACGGAGCCTCAGAATCCTTGCCTCCAAGGAGCCATCTGGTTTAACCCTCTTCAAGATGAAGCTGTTTTCCTAGCAGTCCATGGTACCCTCAATACTCTTTTCCAGCAGCACAGCTCAAAGGCATGAAATCTCCTTCTATCCTCCCTAGTCACTGTCCAACTCTCTGATGCATAACAAGTGATTGCGAAGACCATGGCCTGTATCAGATGCACCTTAGTCTCCAGAGAGACACCATTGCTCTCCAGTACTTTGGAGAGGTCCCTAACAGCAGACTTTCCCATAGCAATACATCTTTTACTTTCCTGGCTACTGGTGTCAAAAGTGTTGACTGTGGAGCCAAGAAAACTAAAGCTGTGAACAATCTAAATCTCTTCACCATCCATCCTGACGCTGCCAATTGGTCCAGTGGTGAGAATCTTTCTTTTCTTGACATTGAGCTTCAATCCATATTGAAGGCTGCAGTCCTTGACCCTCTGCAGTAAGCGCTTCAGGTCCTCCTTAGTTTCAGCAAGCAGGGTTGTGTCATCTGCATAATGCAGATTGTTGATAGATCTTCTACCAATCCTGACCCCACTAGTTTATGGATATCAGTGTAACATTATCTAATATAGTGACAGAAGATGATATTCTCAGCTTGGCAAGAACTTAAAATACAATGAGGAAAGAACTGCTTCCTTCCAAAACCAACCCAAGTACCTGCCTCTACCCTTATATTCTATGACAGAGCTTTGGTCTCCTAGTGGGTAAGGAGGTCCACTGCCAACCCAGAGTTAGGTGGTTCAAATACATCACCTGCTCTGTAGGAGAAAAACGGGCAGTTTTCTCCCATGTACTTTTCTATCTCTGAAAACCTGCTGGATGGGCAATTACAAGTTGATTCAAACTCAATGATTCATAAGAACAACAACAATATTCTAAGAGCTTCACAAGAACCGAAGATGACAGAACTCTCTAGTTCGGGTCTACATTTGCACCTGAAACTCGAGTTCTCTTACCGTCCAGCCATAAGGAGCTCTTTCTCTGACGCCTGCTTCCGCATCTTGGTGTAGAGGTCCATGGTGAAGACTGTGCTGGCGCTGTTGAAGATGGAGGTCAGAGAGCTCATGAGAGAGGCCAACATGACCGACAGCATCAGGCCTCGCAGTCCTGTGGCCAAAAGAGGATACACACTAGTTAGGAGCTTGATGTCATGATCTACCATGGCCTTATGGAACCAAAGTCATTCAAAGATGAAAGTGTTATCTGGCATTAAGTGCGCCAAATAAATAGTATACCTAGTCTTCTGAATTAATAATAGCTTTCAGTTCTGGGGCTTTTATTTACAGATAAGAAATTATGTTTCTAACTGGGCTGTAAAACAGCTTTGAATCCAAAGCCTTAACCATTATGCTGGCCAGAAATAGGTCATGTTCATTTCTTCATTCATTCAGGGTCCAGCCAAAGGCAAGTTGCCTAGGAAAAGTATTCTATAAATGGCTAACAAATTGACTTAAGTAAGTAGAAGATAGATTGACCAAGGAGTTATCATCCTTCTTACATCAATTAATCTATAGATCAACCCTCCAATGACATCCTAGCACAGATGTCTTGTTACCATTAGGCATCAGTTCCATCACCAGCAGGGGGTAGGCATAGTTAGTGCAGCCAACTTCCATTCCACAGTGTTTCATACACTCAGAAGGTACGACACATGCCACCATATCTGAGGAGAAAATCAGAGGAGTGTTCACTACACTCGTACAAAATAAGTACAACTCATGACCAGTAGGCAAAAACAGGTTGCAGATTCACAAGGAAAAAGATGTGTTGGCTGAGAAATGAAGATAACCCCAGACGGTCATGGCTCAGTGTTCATATCAGGGTCCTGGCTGATCTGAGAACTGAACACAACTTTGTAAGAGCCTCAGGCCTATTGCTTCCCAGGTGCGAACTTGATGGCTCTGCTTTGGAATGAATGACAAGCTAGGCTGACAAGCAAACAAAGGGAGCTGATTCTGTCCTCCAGAAGCAGCAGCAAGAGGATAAATTGTCCCAGGAACACAGAATCTCATAAATGGATAAACTAACAAACAAAACAAGCCTGTGTCTAATTGCATCGAGTCTACTGTCTTTCTCTTACATCTGAGAAGGAGTATTGATTGTGATGATCAAGTGAGTGGCTATATGTGGGTTGTCTCCCTCTATTGTGCCTATTGTATAATAGCGTGGTGACTGCTCTTTGCTTCAACAATATAAAAACAGAAAGCAAAAGTTTATAAACACCAAAAATATTAGTACTTCAGAACACCTCCTCCTTTAAAAAAAATCTTCCTAATTGTCACCCTCCATCCTTTTTAAAGGAATCCCTGATGGCTTAATGGTAAGGATTGCACTGCCACCCCAGAGGTAAGTTGTTAAAATTCATCAACAGCACTACAGGAGAAAGATGGGCAGTCTCCTCAGGTATGATTTACTGCATCTGAAAACCTACTGGAAGTTCAGCTTTGGGTTGTGCCTAACTCATCAGTACACAACAATAGCAATTTCTTTTTTGCATAACAGAATTGCTTCAATAAAATTTTATAGTCACCTTTCTTCATTTAATAAAATGTCAGAATTTTCTGAGGTTGTGATTTTCCACAGAACAGGTAAATTAAATTTTTGGCTAGCCTTGTTCTTTAAATAGTTATGTATTCTTGACTATTTAAAACAGCATTGTAGTATTATTTTATCCAAATAAAATGAAAATAATTACATTTAGTGTCTTCTGGATAACAATAGTCAAAAGTTTTGACTAGCCAAGATGTGTCCAGTTATATTTTCTTCATATTTTATAATAAAGAAGGAAATTGACTTTAAGGAAGATTTTCAACAATAATTGAATTGATTCAGAAATGAAAACAACACCAAAATACCAACTTCAAACCAGTACAAGTTAGTGCAACTCTCCAGCCTTCTCAGAGGGATCAAGATATGTTCTCCAGATCACCTCAGGTGACAGAAGGCCATGGATTCAAAGACACTGTTCTACCAACTCACATTTGCACAATTCTACCTCATCTCTGGCCTATTTTCAAATTTTACTAAAGGTAAAATATTGTCATTGAATTATTCTAACTCCTGATATTATCATGCGGACCAGAATAGAGCTGTACTATATAAGGTTGTAAATGTCTGTAATATTTCAAAGCAGATCTCTAATCCATTTTTCTGGAGAGCCTCTGAATGGATTCAAACTGTCAAACTTTCAGATAGTGCTGGATTACTTAACCATTTGTGCCATTCAAGGATGTCCCGTAAGTTTGTTTCAAGGCAAGAAGGCATTCACTAAATTAGAAGTGACAGAATTCACATGTCAACAGGATTTAAGCAGATAGCTTAAAAGAACTAAGTGAATAAAGTGTCAAGTACACCAAATGTTCTTACCAAAACTTCTGTACAACTGTTCCTTTTACCTAAAATTGTGTTTTAACTTCCATTCTAGAATTTTCTAGTTAGTCAATGCTTTAATATACCTTTAACACACTTCCCAGAATTCAAGCATTAAAGAAGATGGTAGATGTGGGTGAACGACTTGCCTGGGTACAGGATGCGGCTGATCATTCCTGGCATCACCATGAGGAACATGGGCAGCAGCTTCAGGTACCCACACATGATACAGGCGGCCTTCACATGAGACATGTTCTTGCCTGAGAGGCAGCGCTGCACAATGACCTGCCAGGAAAACACATGCACTCACGAAACAAGCAAAGGATGACATCAAAAAAGATGAGTGTCTCTTTTCAGGATTTAAGGTTACAAAAAAGTGATATGGTTAATGGTAAATAAAGGGTTTTGGTGTAAGATCAAAACTCCAACTCCAGCTCCATTACGTGATATTTGACCTCTGTGTGTCTTGAGTTTCACATCTTTTTGTTTTTATTGAATTTTTTTCTTTCATTCATGTATACAGATTTCGCATCTTCTCTCCCTTTTTATTCCATACGCATGTCCTATTCCAGATTGTTAGTTACATTATTCACAATGTCTCTTTGTGATTGTTCATTCTTTTCAGATTGCCCTTCTTTTCATCTATTCTAATATAGTATTCCTTATTTACCCACTATCATCTTTAAGATGTCTTTTGCAAGACATTTGTATAATGTACATAAAGTCTTTGACATATAGCAATCCTCTTCAGTCAATAACTATTTATGCTTATGATTCCAGTTCACAAAGTAAAAATGTCCATGTGTTCCTCAAAGTTTCTGCTACTGGTCCCTACCACAAATTTTGTGTAAGATGTGCCTTGGCATTTCAGACATAAAAGAGGCCACTCGCTCATCAATAACCACCCACTCTCATAGTCATTGAGTCAAACCTGACTTATAGCTAAGCCCCAGTGTGTTTTCAGAGATTGTAAAACACATGGGTGGGGATTTCCCATCTTCATTCTATGGAGCTGCTGGTGGATTCAAACCACCAGAGAGATACCACCTTTGAGACAGCAGTATAACTCCCTATGGACTACACCACCAAAGCTCCCAAATTCTCTCTGCTTAATGTGCAATTGCTCCCATAAGACGCTATGGAGTCATCATGGAAATGTAATAGGGAACAGTCTGTATAGAACTCTGAGACATTCATCTTTAGATTAACTATGGATTAAATTGGGAAGGGCGTACGCCAGGGATGCATCCTATCTCCATACCTTTTCAACCTATATGCAGAACAGATTATCCGGGAGGCTGGGCTCTATGAAGAGAAATGTGGAGTCAAGATTGGTGGACGATTTATCAACAATCTGCGTTATGTGGATGACACAACCCTGCTTGCTGAAACTGAG